AACGATCAAATTTCCTCTGGCTTCTATCACCTTGTGGTCCCATCACTGTATCTGACTGACACAGTGTGTTTGGCTAAAGCAAGCCTTGATGACAGCCCTCCACCTGAGGGACAGCTGAGATATTTATTTAGGCACAACATACGCATCTAGAACATGGCCACTAAAGGGAGTTTAGACACAGACACAAAGGTAACTAGCCACTGACAACAATCTAAAACCTTAAAAATTCCCTCTGGAATTATGCATATCCATTTTGGATACAAAATCATCAACTTTCCCTGAAATGGTTGAAAAGCTGTATCATGATGTTTTTTTCAGTTTTTCTAGGATTATCAAGGACACCCCAATTATGCAGTCCTAGCTGTGCTGCCAAACCCACTCAGCACTGAAGAACTAGTTCTTCTCATGTCCAGCTGTTCAGTCAGGCACATCTTTACCAAACTTTCAACTGACCCACTGAATTCAGGTTTCTGCAGTGACTGATGTCCCAAAATTCTTGAAGTCTGGAGGTTGTAAAAAAGCTGTTTTCAATTGCAGAACTGCTATAGAAAAAAAAAAATCATCTTTTAAACAGTGTGCTATGTTATCCTACAAGGAGAAGAAAATGGAAGTTAAGATTAAAAAGTCATCTACAATAATGAGGAATATCCTCAGATTTTCTTCATGGGATGTCTTTTATTTCACTGAGTGAGCCTAGTTTATTGACTTTATTGACTTCAATAGATCAGTCGGGAAACAGCAGCCTGCATGCTTACTTGTTTATGCATCCTTTTATGAACTAAAGTACATTTTGCTCTCCTGGGAAGAGGAAGTGTCTCTTTAGTCCCCAAAACTAAATTTCCATTATCATAAAATAATGCTACTAATATGAGTTATGATAGAAACACTTGGAAACATTACAGTCTGTAATTTTTTTAATACTTTGGCATAATCAACCCAAAATCAGAAGATGCATTCAGATTAGTGCTCTGGTCATCACTACTTCTAAGAGTTCTTTGTAAGGTCTTTGTGAAATTATAGACTATAGCTCTTAAAGCTAAAAAGGATCACATAAAATATTTCATGTTGTTCTCTGTAGCACAATATAATTTCACCCAGCTGTGAATCCATTGTGTGCTAAGGCATACCAACCGCTCTCAGTTTGCAGACTTCAAGAAATGGTAAGCTCACTGCTCCTCTTCATAATTTGTCCCAGTGGCTGATAACTTCATTGTTAGCAACTGAGGAGTAACGCTAATCTAACTGGCAACCAAAAAATACTGGGAATAGCACTACCTGTTTAAACACTGATATGCAAGATAATTAACCTTTTTGCCAGGTCTGGTCATTGTAAAAGCAATAAGGATTTAAGATTTTAATTTATTAAAGCAAATTTTTGCATTTGTCTCTCATTCATTCATGTTTCTAGAAGCTTATAAAATTTGGAGGCAAATCCATGTTCTGTTTTCCATCTCCATAGGCCACAATGCTTTCAAACAATGACTGGTACTTTCTTCTGTAGCTTTCTGTGATTTTCATGCAGCTTTTTTTCAGGATAGAATGGAAGCCGCCTTCTCACAATGAAATTATTCCCATACGCATTCATAGCTGAAAGTTCATGAGAGCTGCACATGCACAAAAAAGGAATAAGAAATGTGAATACTCTTTGGGACGCCACAGAACACATTTCCAGATAAAATAATAGTCTGCATTTTTGTAGATCTTTCCGTCTTCAAAGTACTGGACGTGCATTCATCATCAGATATTAAATATCCTATGTGTTATTTTACTAAGGTTCAGCTTCTGAGCATCACGGTCAGATTCAGCTGCTGCAGTTCCAGGGGTGACAAAAACCATTGTGTGACTGGAAGACTCTGTAGTGCACCCGACTTTGACACATACATTGCCAGCAGCATTCTTGGAAATTTCACTCCCTGGAAGAAGGGTAGGATATGGAAAGAGCGTGTGGCACAAAGGCTGACTGCTACCATTTATTAAGACCAGGTGGTCTTGATGGGTGGGCTACAACCCCCTTATCTGCCCTCCCTCTGCAAATCTGTACTTACTTTGAAGCTTTACACTTACAAGTTCTGAGTCCTTTATTAGAAGCTGAGGCTCAGCAGCGCAGAGGATTAGTCTTTATTGTCTCACTCATGGCCAGGCCTGTCTGAAGGTCCTTTTCTTCTGTAAGAAGTGGTTATTGACAGCAGAATTCCTGTGGAGGATAACTCCCAGAATATATCCGTACATGGCAAGGAACCACGGTGCAGTGACTCCTGAGGCAACCTGACAGCTGAGATAGTCCTGAAGCACTTGCAGAGGAGCTGCTGAGGTCCCAAAGGAGACTCAGATATGTTTATATGGCCCTGCACCCAAGTAGTAAGCCCTCACTCTAGCTCAGAGTCACCTTGATAGAGCTTTACCAGCTCAATGCCCATCTCACCATGACCACAGCAACCCATGGCCAGGAACTGCCCACTGCAGGGGATTGTTACAGCAGTCAGCACTTCAGAAATGAATGCACAATAAAGACATAAAGAAAGCAATAATATACTTTAAAGTTTCATGTTTAGCATCTGTTACACTGGTGAGATGGAAGCCTAAGTTTGATTTGATCAAACTAAGCAATTCAAGCATATTCTGCCTAATTTTAGTCCAAAGAAAATTGTAGCAATGCAGAAGCAGATGATAAATCAAAAGAAGAAAAATAGAAGTTAAAGCTCTGTTCTGGCCTTTCATCTTTATTACCCTTCTTTATGTGCATATGGTAGGTGTTCAATTCTTTCCAAGTCCGTATGATATTCCCTTGTGCTTCAGGAGCTGTAGAGCTGTAGTTGTCTATAAAAAGGCAACCTAACAGTTTCCTGTGACTGAGAGTTGAATGTGTTATTTGTTACCAGCTGTCCATAGATAGTTTGAGCCTATGTCTTGACTTTAAGTGATCAAACTGACTTTAAACCACTCACTCACGGGGTGCATTCATGTTTAGAGAGAATTCTGTTGCAGTATTTTATTTCTGAATTATGCCATATGACTTTTTTTTCCCCCTAAACCACTATTAAAACCAGAATCTGTAATATGCCAAACGCAGACTGCATTTTTTGGAAAGCTGATACCAAACGTAACAGTAAATGAACCCTTCTGAAAGGTTAAAGTTGCTTTCATATAAAACATTTTCTACCAGGAAATGGAAGTGGAATGTTGAACTAAGCATTTAACTTGAAAGAACTGTGCACAAACTCCAATGGTTGCATTATATTTTAAAATAAAAAAAGCAAAGAGTTTTTATAAGCATACATATTTCTAGCTTCATAAAAAGGGTATTATGGTGACAAGGCAAAATGAATCCCAGTATTTTGGATGCTTCTTTTAACCTTCTAAAAGCTCCCTCCCTGTTCTTTAAATATTCTAGGGCGAGCTTTCACAATATGGTAAAATTCATCTAACAGTTCTGCTCCTTTCACTTCCTTTGCATCCTTTCTTCCCTGACGTGCAGGCTCATTCCTTCCCTTCCACTTTCTGATTTTCACATGGCTCCTCAATAAATACAACTGGATTACTAAACCAACAGAAAGCTCTCCATGTTTTTATTTTGCTGAATTGTTTTCCTACCAGCTGGCAAGGTGAACCAGCTCCAGAAGTTATATAGAAATTAGAGCTGGTGGAGAAGCAATGGTTGAGAACAGCACCCAAGATCTTCTTGGAAGACCTCAAACCCTTAAATCTCCTATTCTACATGATGTGATTGCCTCTTAAAAAGATTGCCTCCTTTTTGAGATGGTGGACCTGTTGCAGTAGATTCTGCAAAAAACTAATGGATGAAAGTAATTGTACCAGACCTGCTACTTACAGAGACAACAAAGATTAATGGCAAGCATGCACCATGCATGCACCATTGCTCAGGTGCAAATATTCCTGCATGAGGGCAGTGATCTCATGACACATCTTTATAGAAAGCAAACAAAAAGTGTCTGTTTCCTGGGTACAATCTTTTGGTTTGGGAGGAAATTAAAAAATGCCGACTTTACACAGTTTACTTGAACTTTGATTTTGATTCTGTGATTATTCAGGAAGGGAAGAAGCCATCCAAATGAGCTTGACATGCTGAGCTGCTGCCGATTTGCCAGATTCCAGTGTCCTCAAGTGTGACACAACGTTATTATTCAGTGTCCTGTATTTAAAATCAGAAGTGATTTAATCTGGCTCTCTGCCATACCACTTGCTGACATGATGACACCATGTAAATAATGCATAGCTCTGTGACCACACCACTTTCATGCCACATGCTGGGAGAAACAGACAACATCTGCTATTATTATTAGCCACATCTTAGATACCTTGGAAATTTGAAAAATTAACATCAAAATTACTTCAAATATTTGTAGTCTTCAGCTCCAAACTTCTTCGTTACAGCTCAAAAGGAACTTGTGCATCCACAGTGATTAGAAACGGAGACTGCTGATTTTTATTCACATCCTTTCAAGGTCACACATCTAAGACCATTTATAAATAACTGAGTTTGTTAACTGACACAAGAACACTGGCAAGACTTATATCTGCTGACTGGAAAGGCCACCATTTTAGAAGAAACCTCAAAATATAACAAAAACCCATTTCTAGACTGCAAAATTTGAAATAATTAGTATCAGACATTGCTCCCTGCTAACAGTACACAGTCTACTTCTACTCTTCAATCATTTCAAAAGGTAAACCTACCACAACGCCATCACGGCATGCTCATCAAACCAAAGTGAAATTGTGGTTTTCACTGGGGAACACTGTAAAGCAAAAAAGCATATCTAATATAATACCTGCTTCTTACATTAGAGTCTTTTATCATCTAAATATCATACAACCTCAGTCGTATTGAGGGCAGACAGAAATATAATCTGCATTTCACGGGACATGTAACAAGATCAGAAGTTAACATCTATAACACTGGTACCTAGCTACTGCTCCATATCCTCTCCCCTTCAATCCTCTGACTACCACACAGAGAAGGGAATGCTGGTATTTTTACCTTTTTGCAGTTTACAATAATGTAAAAATTGCTCTTCTTCATTTCCCTGGGCCTATGTTGTCAGAGCAGGACTGTGATGTGCATTCTTCCTGTGAAGACACACAGGAGTAACTATGAAGTCAGGAGAGAGAACAGAATACAACAATGAAAAACAGAAAGCTAGAAGTTGGGTAGTTACAAGAAGAAGGTTAGAAGTTGGGGTGGCTGTGTTATTGTGGAGAACTTACCTCAATCTTCACTCTGTGGCCATCACTAGTGAAATGCACCTATAGAAATATGCATTTGCCTACTAATTTTAGATTCCCAAAGCCTGAAATAAAAGAATATGTGGCTCAAAACCACTGAACTGTGCAACTGGATCATGATTTCTCAGGGCAAAACAGATGTCTTGCCCAAATAAATTCATTTAGAAACTTTGGAGCATGGCAAACATAAAAAAGAAAGGGAGGGCTTCTTTTCTTTTTCTGCTCCTATGAGACAGTCAGAGCACAGAGTAATTTGATTTCTTTCTGTTCAAGGAAGAATGCACTGGACAACATTCTGTACTTGTTCACATTGTTCAAAAGGATCAGCATTTTGAGAGTCCCAAACCAAGACCAATTCTTTCTGTTTTCTCCTTAAGAAGACCAGGAATCTTGTGGTCTCTTTTCAAAGGAATGACTTTGTCCAGAATCTTGCCTCAGAGATTTATTTTCACTATGTTATTTAGAACAGAAAAGAACACTGGAATGACTTCCTAATTTCTTTAGTAAATCTGTTCTTAATCTACTTTACTCCAAGCATTTTACAGAGTGTTTCTTACATAATGTTCTACTCTGAACTTCTGTAATTACACACTCAGTGGTCAAACTTTCTCTTGACCAGAAAAGACTGTCAGTAATTGCAGTAAATTGAAAGGAAAAGTTTGGGGGAAAGAGTAGGATGGTTGAGAAGATAACTTTGTGCTTAATCTGTGATTTCTGTTCTAACAGCTTCTCTGGGTATGGAGCTGCCCCTCACAGAGTAGTGACAAAGCCTGTCTTGTGGAAGTTTTCTACAGTTTTTGTTTTGCCTGAGGATTGGATTTCACAAGGCTAACTAGATTGTCCTTGTCTAGGAAACCCCAAGGGTGAAGCCAGATGGTGTCTGAGTGCAAACTGCAAAGATTGAAAGTGGGGAAAGGGTAGTGGTTGAAAACCAGGGAATAAAAACCACTGAACTAGATAAGTGGGTAAAGTACAACAAGTTAACAAGAAGTTATGAAGTGGCATGACAAGGGTAATGAAGTATGCTTTTCATAGGCAAAAATGTAAGTATTTTGAGGGGAATGTCAAATGTATTGGAGTCTTTTTTGTAAAGTCCACTCAAAGCTTCCTTTAGCACAGTAGTCTCTCTCCCTTCTCAATGAATTCTTTTGACAATTCTGTTAGCCACAGAAAATTTCCCTAAATTCTTGTTACTAGATATATACCTCTATATGCAAGAATAAATTATTGCAAACAAGTCCAGTACTAGACAAGTAGCAGTAAAAATAGCACAACTTACACATTCTTACTAAGAGCTAGCTCAGCAGTCAGAAGCATTGCCTGAACAGTCAACTATAAAAGCTCTTGTTTTGTGATAACCTAATTTGACTATTTCCTCTACCAAAATGTCCTATTTCATTGACTTAAAATGTACAGGTCAGTCCCACATTTTGTGCAGCTAAAAGTGCGTGCACACTGAAAGAGCAGATTCTAGGTTACTGTGAGATAGTGAGAGCAGCAGTGGTTCTCTTTGGAGGAAATGGTGCACTCTTCCTGCCATCGTGGTTTCTTGATGGTGGAGGAGGAAGGAACATGGCAAATAGAGACTGTGACACATTTAAAGGCAACTTTTCTGATGGTGAATGTTTCTAGAACTTTATCTGGCGTCCGTATTTACAAACGCAAGCACATGTGGTTTCACAGAAACATTCGAAAGGGAAGAGAGAGGAGTTGACCAGCACATGCCTGAGCTGCTGCCTGTGTTAGTTGAGATGGGTGTGCTGGCTACCAGGCCAGGCTGGTAGGGCAGCAGTGAGAGCTGTGAGACACAGCTGGGGATGCCATCACAGCTGTGGCAAGAAGCTGGGTGGAAGGGCAGAAATGCACACATGTACCTGAGCCAAATCAGAGCCCAGGACAATTCATTTCCTTGCTTCTAAGTTGTGGAATTTGTAGAGAAGTTTCAAGTGACACCCAAAAATAGCATTCTTTTAATACACATTAATGATTATTAATGATTATCCATACATCGTTTTGAAAAATTTCTTTGATAAGCAGTGCTAGATCTTTTTAATTTCTACTGCCAAAATTTTAGGTCACTTCTAAAAAACATGCACAATTCCACACAGATGTAATCTCTGCTTGATTGTTTACAGTTCCAGCGTTATACCCTGACTTATCTGTTCTCTTTGGCTAATGTGGCTTGATGATTTTACTCTGTGATTTCCCTTTTCAATCGTGTACATCAGATAGCAGATATTCATACTTCCCTTTCCTACATCATGTGACATTTTCATAATGCAGTGATAACATGGCAGACTTGCTTTTGATCAACTCTACAGCATATCTTAGAAATTAGCACTAATTTTTACAGTACAAATTAGGGAATGCAAGGTATTTATTGCTTGAAAATATTGAATTCTGTGTTACATCTGTAGAAACTCAGTACTCAGTCTGAAGATTCATTTGTTATTCTATTCTAAATCTAATTCTATTTCTGAAACAGCCTCTTTAAAACTGTATCTGCTTCATCTCTGTGCCAGGCTGGTCTCTCTGATATGACTGATGCTTTGGAAGACATTGCCCTGAAAGGAGACGGTGCTTGCAGCAGAGCACTTGAAAGCCAGCGCACCGCCATCCATCTTCTCCTTTACGGCATGTGCTGGGATAAACAATGGGGAAATCAGGCACTTACTGAGGCTGCAAGGAAAAGTGGTGAATCAGTTTCATGCAAAACTTGGTTAGGATTCTAGTTACAATTTTGAAGGTGTTCAGTGTTCCAGACAAACATACACTTAGCTTTCTGCAAAGAGCTTAGGTGTCTTAACTCTGCTTACTTCAGTTCAAGGTGATTGCTTTCAAACTCCTCAAAATTGCAAGAGGCAACTGCTTGAATGCCAAGATATGCTTTAAAATCTGAACCCCAGCTTTTGATGAGCAGTAGTCTCAGTTTAGTCTTGGACTCTCCACTGTATAAGTGCTGCCTGCCTACCCACTAGAAGTAGGTCATTACCACCCATCTAAACAGTAACTCAGAGTAATGAATGGGAAATATCCCTCTTGGCCTGTATTTGAAGTTGTGACATAGAGGCAAAAAGCTAACCATGCCTTTATGACCTTATTATCCTAACCCTCCAGTCTTACCAGCCTTCATACCTCTAATTAAGCCTGCAAAAAAAAAAAAATACCTCACTGACAGTTTTTCCTCAGGCTTGGTATGAGTAATCTGACTACATCTGGAAAATTGCTGTGAAAAAAGATGTTGTGAAACAATTTTTCATTCTAAGAGTTTTTTTTTTATTCTAAATATATCAATTTTTAAATTAAAAAAATAAAAACACTCTAAGCTAGAGTCTGTGTGTCTGAAACTAGAACAAAACCTACACACTTCAGTTAGAATAATGAAAATTTTATCAGTGGAAGATCTAGCAAGCCAAAGTGCTTTCCTTTTCCATTCCAACTAAATCACACATTATTTGGGGTAGAAATTTGGCAGGAAACTCTCTTGTATTATCCCTACATTGTGGCTGGACTGATTTCTTTATCCTTTTTTGATAGATGGATGTCTAGTTGAGCCCTGAATATCTTCAGCAGTACTGATTCCAAAGTTTCATTTGTCAGCTGGTTTCCTTGGCTGTGAGTTCTTATGTTTATAAACTTTTCCCTGATATATAATTCTATTTTTTTCTCACAATGCTTCGAGCCACCTCTTGCTTGCTTGCTTAACTAATGAGAATAATCAAATATCATCTCATTTTCACTGACTCTCTATTTCAGACAATAAGAGGTCACTTTAAACTTCCTGGAATTAACATGATTTAATTAATCTCAACAACATACCATGGGCCTTATTTTGCAAGCCTACCATCAGTTTTCTTACATAGCTCAAGATTTAGACAACTTTTTAAAACAAGTATCTAAAACCAGTTACAGTACTTCAGCATAAAACCATAAAAGACTAAAGTTTTCTTTTCTCATTATGTATATTCCCATGGATTATGTTGTATAAATTGTTATAGTAGCTGCTTATGTGGACCTTTCATCATTCTAGAAAATGTAAGGGTTTGCAGAGCTGAAAACTATCAGTGCTGCAAAAAAGAGTGACACTGATTGTTGAGACAACAGTTGAAGGGACTGACTCTACAGAGCAAAGAAATTGCACAGTACATCAGAATCAAGAATGTCACTGAGTTGTGAGGCTGGTGTCTTTGTAACCACTCCAAGACACTTAAGTAAAGACAAGGAAGGAGAGCTTTATTTCAAAGGGAATAAAGACAACTTGGAGAAAAGGACAGTAGGCTGTGAATTGCAATTTTTGAAAAGGAAGTACTTTTAGGAGCTGATGGGGGATCTACAACTGGCTAAAATGCTTTGGGAAGCTGTTTCTACACTGGATACCTACAGCAGACTGTTAGCCATGCAGCACCAAGCTGCATCACTCAGTTCATGGCTGAGAACCCCAAGATAAAGGAGGCTGAACTGTGACCTGAATGCAGAAAACAGTAAAGTGAGCTAAGTCTACCTTTCCTGCAAACAATTATTACCTACGAACAGGTTCTTCCTTGGCATGTGCAGAGTTTTGTACATTCCTTCCCAAGCTACCCAGTCATTGTCCTTGGCACAGTATAGTACATCTTTTCTGGATAAATTCTACTGGGTGCATTAGAACACAGAAATTCTCTGGAAGACCTAGCCCTGGGTTAGATTTTCACAAAATGCTAATTAAATCAAAAGTATTGAGCATCTGATAGCTTTTGCAAATTCTTCTAAATACATGTTTATCCTGTCTTTGAACAACTAACTGCAAGGGACTGGTCATGGCTCAGAAAACAGGATGCATGAACAGAAAGTTGGGTCAGGATAGTATGACTTTGGGAGTCTTTTCTATTAACGGGATGAGCACTTGGGTCAGACTGTGTTTGCTCAAGCTTCCAGATACATCACATTCCAATCAAACATGCTCAGATGACTAGTGGGAGCTGTACCAGAATGTGTCCCATGCAGTCATTAGTCTAATTTGCCAAGGCATTCTCACACTACTAACCTGGCATGCATCTTTCTAGTTACCATGTAATTGTTTACTTTTTGTCAGTAGTTACACAGTACCAAACGTGCCAAGACCATTCAAATGTTTTTGACCACTTCTCTAGTTCAGTTCCACCCAAGAAAAGTAACTCAGCCAATTCCAATTCTAAAAGGGCTACATCATCTGGCCATTCATCCCTTGTAGTGACAATTAAATAAGTTGTTTTAGAGAAGGAGTGTTATGACCACTGAATATAAAACTCACAATTGCCTCAGAGCTGACCTTCCCCAGGTAGCTTTTAGCCACTATGCCATTTCCTCTGAGCTGTGAACCCTTTAACCCCTGCACATGCATCGGGAACATTGTGTTCAAGGAACACTTAGTTCTTCTTTTCACTGTAGGACTGTCACTTTTAACATGTGAGAAATGTGGTTGTTTTCTTAAATAAAGGAAGTGTGAGTAATTCTGTGAAGCCACGAAGACCAAACTCTGCATACATGTTTGTTCCAACACCTCACATCATTTTAGGTTTGATGTTCTGATGTCCAAAATAACATTACTAAAATTACAGTGCTTTTATGCTATCAAGTCCATCTAGGAGAATTGTTTTCCTGACAATGAGGACAAAATTTCCCAAATCAGAGTGCTGTACTTGCAAGTTTTTTTATTGTGCCTCCATCTCTCTACTTGATAATTTGCTGCTAAGCATTATATATACAATATATATACCATATATATATATACAATACATATATAAAATATACATACTGTATACAAACCACCTGGCAATATTGCTTTTGTGTTGAAGAGCCACTAGCCTACAGTTGACTTTGAGAAAAGTTTGGACTTGTTGGGATACTTATTTTTGCATTTAGATTTGTCTCTCCCACTGTATTCATAACTGGGGGGTGCTGGAGGATGCCACATACCTAAATATGTACCTGGAACATGCAACTTCAAGCTCTGATAGACGTAGACAAGCCTGCTCTCTGATGGAACTGTCCTCTCAGGTACAGCTGCACTGATGTGCAGTCTAGAGAAAAGCCACTTTGAAGTCACTCCTGCATGAAATATTTGCGTGGCCATTAGGACAGCAGGAAACCTCGTGCTGTTGGGCTGCTGCCTGTTATCATTCAAGACCTATCTGCTTCAGCCAGCTCCAGAAGACTGAAGCACAGGCCATAGTAAGCTCAATGAGAAGGTGAGCACAGTGACCTTGAGGAAGCAACTAAGGACAAACTGTATATGGCCAAACCTCTGGCCACACAAGCTACCCACCTGAGCCTTGCAAAGCAACAAGTACCCCACCACACATCTGAGAAAGCCAACAGGTGTATGGGACCCCCAGGATCAATCAGAAGGAGAAGATAATCAGCTCACCACCAGTACTCAGATCCATGTAGGTGCTGAACCTGTCAGGGACAATGTGGCAGTATCAGTTTCAGAAGCAGACATGGGTGCTAGTACACCATGCTGTTCCTCACCTCCTGACCAGAACACCTTGCTGGAAGGCCTAAAGTGCTCTCAGGATGGGATAACTAACCTTCAAGTCCTACTGAATCATCTACAGCCTATAATCAGAATCACATCTACTTCCATATCACATCTAAGGGTTGTGACGCTTTTCAGGCCAGAATCCCCTCTTTTAAAAAGGTAATAATGTCTGAAATCATTCTTTTTTGAGGTTCAGAAACTCTGGATCTTGCCACCTTTAGACAAAACCAGTTAAATATGGTGACACTTTGGGTATGAGCAGCTTTCTTATATATGATTTGAGGATGACAGAACATATGTTCTTAGGTGGGTGAAAGGACAAAAATCAGGCCAATTAATTAATTATTTGAATGTTTCAGAGCAGGAGCTCAGGAGAATCAAGTTCATTAAATTTATTCTAACCCAAGTCTGGCCACTTAAGTCTATGGTAAAACTTTCACTGACAAATATGGAAGCAGGCTGAGACCTCACAGAAGCTTCTTTTAAAGAACTTCTAAATTTTCACCTCATCTCTTTAAAGCATTTTTGCAAGCACATGGACCTCAAAGGTTTCATATAGCTGGTAAGCTAAAACATATGAGGAATATAGCAAATAATTTGTTCTAAGCCACAGAAGAAATCTGTATCCAAGCTAAAAATTGGAGTCAGTAGTGATATCCTGTTCTTCTCACTGAGCTTTCAAGACCACAGGGCAAAGATGATGCTGTCCATGAGTTAAAGCTGTTTCCCTTCTTTATGAAGAAAAGTGGCCATGATGACACTTGTAGCTCTACAGTTTTCCCTATTAAAAAATGGAAGACAATCCTCATTTTAAAGCATCCATTCCAGTTTAGTTAGGCTGAGATTTGAGTGCTTAATGCACTTTAAGTAGAGGCCATAGGAACTATAAAAACTCTAAGATGTTTAATCTGATCCTTTCAACTATAATGTTGAAATACTTACCAAAAAAAATCTATAGACATGGCAGAAACACAGGGAAAACACTTCAAGTTTCCTTACTTTCTTACATTCTACAGAAATCAGAAAGATGACTTCTTCTCTTTGAAATGCTTAATAGTTTCTTTGAAAATAAAACAAAGCATGTATAATTACACAAGTGATTTTCAGCATGTGACCTCTGATAAATCTCAGTTCTTCAGAAAGATGACGAAATTATGTATAAAATCATAATTTTAAAAAAGAAAGAACAAAAGAAAAAAGAACCAACAAAGAAAAAAAAAGCCAAAAAAGCAGAACAGCAGAAATTAGAGAGTGAAAAAATGGCATTGAGGCAGATTTCAGGAAATATATCTCTTTAAAGCATTTTTGCAAGCACATGGACCTCAAAGGTTTCATATAGCTGGTAAGCTAAAACATATGAGGAATATAACAAATAATTTGTTCTAAGCCACAGAAGAAATCTGTATCCAAGCTAAAAATTGGAGTCAGTAGTGATATCCTGTTCTTCTCACTGAGCTTTCAAGACCACAGGGCAAAGATGATGCTGTCCATGAGTTAAAGCTGTTTCCCTTCTTTATGAAGAAAAGTGGCCATGATGACACTTGTAGCTCTACAGTTTTCCCTATTAAAAAATGGAAGACAATCCTCATTTTAAAGCATCCATTCCAGTTTAGTTAGGCTGAGATTTGAGTGCTAGGAACTATAAAAACCCTAAGATGTTTAATCTGATCCTTTCAACTATAATGTTGAAATACTTACCAGAAAAAATCTATAGACATGGCAGAAACACAGCGAAAACACTTCAAGTTTCCTTACTTTCTTACATTCTACAGAAATCAGAAAGATGACTTCTTCTCTTTGAAATGCTTAATAGTTTCTTTGAAAATAAAACAAAGCATGTATAATTACACAAGTGATTTTCAGCATGTGACCTCTGATAAATCTCAGTTCTTCAGAAAAATGACGAAATTATGTATAAAATCATAATTTTAAAAAAGAAAGAACAAAAGAAAAAAGAACCAACAAAGAAAAAAAAAGCCAAAAAAGCAGAACAGCAGAAATTAGAGAGTGAAAAAATGGCATTGAGGCAGATTTCAGGAAATATATTTTCTTTTTCTTTTCCAGTGTTACATTCCAAGATATTTTTAAATCACAGATATTGAAAACAGATTCCCATACAATTCTTAATAAGTTACAGTAGCCACCAGAGTTAGTGGTTCTTAACATGTGGCAAAAAATAAAATACTTCTAACTCAAGCCATGTCATGCTGGTATTTTACCAGCATTCCTCATGCTATTGTTACAATTCCATTAGTTGCATGGCATTTAATTCTTTCTGAATATAAGAACAGATTATCTCCCTTTCTGATATTAACAGCAAGCAGTATAATCATAATAACCATGGTACATTTCATCCCACTGTCTCAAGATACTTTGATCTTTACCTCTGATTTTGGAGATGAAGAAATTTCAAGTCAGAATAATGAAGTGGCTCCCTGGAATCAGCCAAGAGTAGGGCCTAGAATGGAAAAAACAAAAGCAGACCTTCACAAACTTTGTAAATCGTACCTGGTCTAACACAGAGAAGATTTATCATTCTCATCATGTTGCCGTGATCGGCCCCGCAGTGATGCTGCCCACTGACACACACAGCGGGTGCATAGCTGTGCAGTCCCCTGGGAGTGACAACCTCGTGGGGGGTCCTGAGCAGGGGCAAGTGTCCCCCACAGAGGCCAGGCAGAAGGATGCTCCCCTGGAGAGCTGATGCTGTGGTCCTCGACTTGAGGCTCTGCCGTTGGAGAACGGGCACAGCAATGCACAATCAGACATGGTGGGCATGCCCAAACCAGAGCCATGGCCCACCATGTCTGACATGTGGCACATGCCAGTCCTTACCCCCGGGATGTGCATCAGATTCAGATGCTAGGAATCCACATGTATTGGGGCAGCATGAGGACATAAGTCTTATTAAAAAAAAAAGGATAAAATGTATTACTCCTCTGTGATATATTCATAATTATTTAATGACACTTACTGTTTATACTAAACACTTTGAAATAAATCACATTAACAAAACTTACTTGATTTCATAGGCAACTTATATCCAATATTTAATATTTTAAAACTCATTAAAGATGAGTTTTAAATGAATTAACTAGAACATTGAGACAAAAGTCTTTAAAAGAGACTTGAACTATTCATTGAATGGCAACAGAAAGAGATTCTAAAAGAGCTCTCGAAAAGCTTGCTGTAAAGCTAAATCAATGTTTTTATCAGGAATCTTCCCTAGTTAAGTATTACCAAGCAAAGCAGAGTTACATATAAAAGTTCAAAACCAGAAGTCCTGTCATTTACACAAGAATATGTTTCAGAAGCTGCCACAAACTCCTTATGAGGTGCTGTTTACAAAACTGGATGGATTTTCTGTTCAAAGTGGCAAATCATGCACTTCCCCAAAAATTCAGTTTGGGGATGACCAAGCATAATTATGAAACTGGATGGGAAAGATGGGGATAGGAGAAAGACATGAAATCTGGAAAAGATGGATAATAATATTTCAATATCAACATCATATTTTTTACACACACAAAAATATTCAAGTTGGGTTTTTAGCTGAATTTCACTCTGAATTTGCTTCTTTGGCTTTTTTCAACATCACTTTTCCTTACATTCCGTGAGGTACGAGAAATGAAAAAAACAAACTACACATGACCAACAGTAAGGAAAGGCTCATTGCAGGACGCACAGGGCTGGTTATCTGTCTCCCACATAAAATACAATCCAACAGTGGCTACCAAAGGGTTGCTGACTTAGTTGATGCAAATGTTGCGGGCAAGTTAGAAATTTTGGAAATATCTTCTTATTTTGCAACAGTTATTAACACACTTCAGATGAAAGCTTTATTTTTCTTAAGCAGGACAGGAGTTCCTTGAGAGCATGAAATGTACCTGGAATGAAAGCTGTCAGTTTAATTTATATGAAAGATATTTTTTAATTCAAGTGTTAGCTTTAAAATTCAACATTTCATTAAGATGATCTGATATTTGCCAAAATTCACCACCAAACTCACAAATAGGATAATTTGACATTTCTTTTTCATGTATTATCAAGGAAATTTATAGAAATGAAGCTAGGCCTAAACTAAGGGTGCCTGTTGCTCTGACAAAAACACTGATGTCCAAGCCCAGTGTGTTTCCTTTCTTGCAAGGGTGTCAGCAGTACATTTAGCACCAGGGTGGAAATAGGGGAGGTTGGACTAAAGACTCATATTACATATTGCAGGTCTCATATTCCCACTTTGTGCCATTCCTGGATTTATGGTCTGGACATTTCATGGTTTCTTTAGAAGAGTTTTGACAGAAAATTGCTTGTCTACCTAAAATTCAAAACCAGCTTTAGTAAGATACATGAGATACACAGATGAAGCCTTGCCCAGAAAAATATTATTTTCCCAAAAGAAAGCAGTGGGTTATTTTTTGTTTGTTTAAGTCATGAAAAGCAGGTGAAGCAGCAAATGACAGAGGAATTAACTGAATAAAATATAAATGTGAACATCTCTGGCCTAATTGAAATACAGGGTTACTCTGTATGAGATCAGGTGAGGCCTCAGACACACACAGAGTTAAATACAGTGGTGTTGTAGGGATACTAAAACATGAGATATTGCTGCTGACCACAGAGAGCAAATTACAATTAAGTACACATCATTCTGGGAAGTTTGCCAAGGAAAATCCAGGGAGAGGTGGCCATTACTGCTGCTTTGCTTAAGCTAGGGGAAAATGGAGATGTAGTTGCTCTAACTCTTACCAAATGAACAATTGCACTCAGAGTACAAAGCAAATCAGTGCTAATGAGACAAATCAGAAAACCAGCTCTGAGAACAAGTTCAAAGCACAAAAGTAGAAATGCTTCAGCTCTCTCTGTGTTATCAGCTTAGCACTGGGGCAACTGCATCACAGCTGGCTGTTGCTGTGGCATGGTGGTTTGGCACAAAACTAGCTTCACAGACTTAAAGACAGAAAAGCACAAACAAAAAGTACAGATGTGGCATTACAGTAGAAGAAATGAGGGAGATTGAAGAGGCAAAAACAAATTTTGAGCAGCATTTTTACTTTTGATAACAGGGGTACCAAGAAGAGCTGAAACTATGAAGATAGTAATACCAGCAAAACAGAATCAAGAATATTCATACAGAGCTGAATTTCTTCAGCAGACAAAGGAGAAGGACAGGTAACAACTCTGGCCACAGTGACCATAATGGGTAAAGGATGAAAAGCATCCCAACCTACCACTCCCCTTAATTAACTTGAGATTTATTCTACTAGGGGATCCAAACAGACAAAAAGAACACTGCAAATGGCAGGAAGATGTCACATCCTACATTATTACAGCACTTGTTTGTTTTCTTACAGAGAAACTGTCTGATTCAGCAAGAAACAGATTATTCTGACTTTTCAGTCACAGTATCTTTAGAAATTTTCTACGGATCTTTGCTGGTAATGCTTCTATACTTAAGATTTAGAGGAGGGACTGTCTCCTGAAGCCGAGCATGGTCTGCAGCATTAACATGTTCTTGCCACATTCTAATTGTGATGGCATCTAAGCAGAGGGGGACACTTCAGCACCAATCTCTCATGTACCATGGCAAGCAACTTACCTCCTCAAATGCATCCTTGACTGGGTAGCTTTGTTCTGAGTCCAATGTTAGCTCCAGTTCTCCTGGCATTACAAGATTTCTGTTGTTAAAAGATCTCTTTCCTATAATTTCTCATTATATTTTCAATGTTAGAAGTCATCATTAAACAACATAAATTAGACTATGCTCTACAAGATTCTTGAGTACCTCTTTATGTCTAGATCAAATAGTCTTTACTTTTTCTTCTTTTTTTTTTTAATGTGTGAGAAAAATATAATAAGAAAATACTGGGAGTTTCCCCTTGCATGATTTCCTGAGATCCTCAGTAAGCAAAGATCATTTATATTACTGTCTCTCACTATTGCTCAACCTCTCATAAGACTGGGCATCTAAGCTGTACCCAACTACGGCTAATCAAAAAAAAATTTCATAGGGAATAAAAATAATATAGATGGAAAAGTCCAATTTGAAGCATCAGTTTCTATATAAGTTCTGTTTTGTCATTTTTGCCATGATAAATTGGAATTATGGGTCTTCTCTTGACAGATTTCCTTTTCCAGTGTCACCAAAATAGAGAGTCAGCACTTCACAGAAATCTCTGGTGCAAAGAAAGCCATGTCATAGGCATACTACAGAAGGCAAACTCATTCATTAGTCCAAAGTCTCCTTTTAACTCAAACACTCAAATATTAACTCAAATTAAATACTCAAATCAAATACTCAAAATTCACTCAAATATTATGTTTCATAATCAATAAATGTTTAGGACCCAAAATTTACTTAATAGCATAAACCAATATTTCCATGTGGTTTTTAAAAACTCTCAATCCAGGATGAACATTCAAGGGCTTAATTGCACAAAAGGCAACATCACCAACCTGTAACTCTGGATGACCTGTCTTAACACTGAGTGTCAAATCACCTTCAAAAACAATACCACAGTGAAAAAATAATCAGTCTGACCTCAGTGCACATTTGTACACATAATGGTATCACAGAGTTCAGAAATTTGAAACATAATAAATATTCTCATAAATAAAGAAGGCTTTAAAATAATTTGGAAGTACATGAGGAAGCAAGCATTTCGCTGCTCTTTGGTGGTAACCTTTTCCAGGAGTCCTTTCTCAGTCTGACCATGCACAAGGCTGTAGGACTGAAGCAGAAACTGATTAAAATATGCATAGGTACATGCATGTGTCCATGTTTATACACCTGCACACACATTTCTCAGCATGTGAAAAGGAAAGAATGGATGTGGGGATGATTTTAAGAAAGTTTTTCTGCAGGGTGAGCTTAAGGAAGCCAGGGACAACTGCTCTTGGTAGACTGCTGTGAGATTAAGAAAAAAAGGAAATGGTTGCCTTTGATGAAGGAGTTTAGAATAGGTACAGCTGCATTGAGCAGGAACAGGAACTTTGTAATAAAAACACTCTGATGTGGCATTTAACCCAAAACACCAGTCAGTAAAAATAAATGCACAACCACAGAACTTAGGCTATTCTGATGCTGTTTTAATCATTTTAGAGCATCACAGTATCTGGAATTCACTGGAAGTTAAGTTTCTAGTGATTATTTAGGTTTGCTGCAACCAGTTACTGGACATTTTTGTCTTTTACGTAGTTGGGTATAATGTGAATTGATTACAGCATCTGTGAGCACAAAGTTCTGCAGTGGTAACTGCTCAGTTAAGGAAATTTAGTGCCCAGAGCCAGGACACATATCACTCACATTCCTTGTTCATCTCTTTTTCTTATGGAGGTTGTTTGCATGGATTGCTGCTGTCCTAAAGTCCCACAAACTGAAGTCCTCTTGTTTTGACTCATTTGGGCTACTTTTTCCAGTCCAGTACAGCTGTCAGTGAGGGTGGGATCTCTTTGAGAGCAACAAATGAGCCAGATGCATAGTTCAATGGCCAGACACTTCAAGTCATAACAACCTAGTGAAGCAAGATAATTTTGCTTGCAGAAGAATTAGCCTTTATTAGCCACTAATACCACTTTTTGCCCTGCATAGCCCTTTAAACAGCTACAGCTCCATCGACATCACATTTTGGAAAGCTTACTAGTGGCACATCTGGTTATAGAAAGCTTAGAGGGCTTCCTAGAGCAGCTACCACTTATTAAGACATGAATGAACTTAAACTATCTGATGAGGAATGAGCTGAAGTTACCACACGCAGGCATTCATATGGAGTAAATCTTGTCATTCAGACCACAAATTCTGCAAGACATTTTTGCCTGTGTCTAATTTTTGTCATATGTTTATCGTGTGTATATATAAGTAGTATAGTTCAAATTCATATGAATAACTTATGAGGTAAGAAACGATGGAGCACATGTACAGAATTGCATCTATACATATATATTTATATATGCACTTATGATATTTAGTCCTGGGTTTAGAGACAGAGATGAAGTTGTCAGTACTTTTCATTTTTCTACCTTCTCTGCTTATGCAGAATTGAGGAAAGTCAACAGCCTAGCTGCACTCACAGACTCACTTTAGATATGTTCTGCATTATTCACTAGGATTTACAAAACTAAATCAGGAGTGATTACTTTCTTTTCCTACGGAAGTGTGCAGTGCTACCTTATAACTTTGTGATACTGCTGTAGATTAAAAATCACATGTTGATCTAGAGACAAGAGATCAAATCTATTTTAATCAGCTATGGCACTCCCTACACAGCAAATCAGTAGAAGCTGCTAAGATTCCAGCCAACTAAGTACTCACTTGATTTCATTTCAAAGGGTTTAAAGTCTAAGTAAGGAGAAAAAATATATTTTATTCTGCATAATGTTTAAAGAGAGACAAGAAAGTACAAGGAAGCTGTGCAGGTTGCAATGATGAGAGGGTGAAGAGAAAAAAAAATCTAAAAAAAAAATAGTGTATTAAAGAAACCACTTGCAAGTTTTCATTAATTGTAGTCTAGCTTTGAAGAAGAGGAAGAACAGCAAGTATTGTAGGTTCTCAGTCATGTTATTTATGTACAGAATCCAAACCAGTTGCACTTTTTAGCAAATATAACTATAAAGAAGACTTACAAAGGCAGCTGATGCCTAAAAGCAGTAAAAAGGCCAACAAAGGAAAGACAGGGAGATAACTTTAAGTTGTCTACCTCAAAAAAATTAGGGTGTGGGCCTCTGTACACTGGGACTGTGCCTTAGACACTGGAAGTAATGGTCTTGCTATTTCCCAAAGCACAGCATCACCTTGCCTCTCCTACAGCAGAAAGAAGTCTCCCTACAGATGAACTGCAGTTTGATGTCTTATATTTTAAGACACCGTATGTCTTAAAAGATGGACTGCATATGTGATGTCTTATATTTTAAATTTTACTAGTCTACTAAATAATGAGTAGGTCTTGATGTGTTTCTCCTGGATTATAACAGTAATAATGTACAAAGCAAAACCATGTTTTCTTACAGCTCAGTACCCTTCAAACCTAAACTGAGTAAAAAGAACAAATAAGGTTGAATTATTTCCTTTAATGTAACTGATATTTTCTGTGGATCAGAAGCATGGTTAGAAATATTTCTAACACCAACTTTTCATCATTTAGAAAACTTTAAGGAAGGCTCCCTGGGACAAACTGGAAATTCTGATGAACAAGTTTCAGTATGGAGCTGCTGACACGTGGAATCAAACCAGGATTTAGCATTCGTGGGTAGGATGTATGATCACCCAAAGCATACCTGAACAAAAAGGGGGAACCAATCCAACCAGACGTCAGGCTGTGCCAACAGAAATAATAACATATGTCCGTGTGTTATTATTATATGTTATGCCCATATAACATAACATATGCCAACATAACACAGGATGAGGAGGGGTGTTTTCCCTCCATCTGTCACACACCAGCATGGCTTTGATAAGAAAACTGTGGGTATATATCTTTCCCATGGTTACACCAAAGAGAATTTGTCTCTGCCTTTCCTCCTGATCACATCCTCCAAAGTCCACCACAATGGATTTTCACCCTGGCAATTATCAATGAGTGCAGATGCAATCACCCTCTTTTTGCAAGTAGGCTGGATAAGTTCCTACACAGCATTTGAATGGGTAGGCCCTTAAACATTTCTTGTGTATGGAAAAAAAAAATCCCAAACATCTCATGGAAATGCAAGTCCTCTCCCATCTTAGCAACACCAATTCTCCTCATCAGTGCCACAAGCAATATCTACCTTTGCATTTTCACTTCCCCTATACCTCAGAAATATCTCATGAATACCACCCAAAGTAAAACTGAAACACAACACAAAAGCTTATCTGCCAGTTCATCTGGCAGCTCTGCTGCTCCCAGTACTGGTGCCACACAGAGAAGGCAAGAAGGTGAAGAAAAATGGTTGTGCAGGAAAAGCTTCGAGAAAATACCTAGCTTGCCAGTTCCCCTTGCAAACAAAAATTGCTATCAAAGGTGAAACCTGCTTTGTACAACACACAGAAAGAAAATAAACACCATAGAAAGGACATGTGCTGCAGAGTAGCAGGAGCAGAAATTCCCATCAACACTGTGAACTGGCTAAGATCACTAGTGAAAAAGAAAAACAATCTTCTAGGAAAAGCAAAGAAACCTAACAACATGGTAAAAGCTAAAGTGAAGTTCTTCCTATCAGTGCAACACACTTGAAACTCAAGGGAGCAGGAGAGAAGGGAACCCACACTTGCCCACCATCCACAGAAAATTCTGATCCCGAGAACAAATTTGCCATGTACCACAAACATAATAAGTGTCATCTGCACCACGTGATGCTGCCAGAGATACTGACAGTCTCAGCAAGTTTCTGGATTTGATGTATCAGGAACTGAGTTGCCACAGACCCACATGGAAAGGACAAACCTGAAAGGAGGGATTAGAATTGGCACAGGCAACGTGGGTTAAATGTGTACAATGCTAAAAATCAGGCTGACATTTTTGTTTATGTTCCCTCTCTCCCTGCCCTCGCAAGCTCTCGTTATTAAAGAGTGAAGAACAGTGTCGGATCTCACACAGAGTCAGCACGGCATGACACAGGAAGTCTGCACTAAAGCAATTTTATGGATATATGATTTCAAATGTGATCAAAACTTCCTCCACGACTCCAGCTTTTCTGCTTCAAAGGTTTTCCCGAATTCTGGGGGTTATTGACATATACCTAAGGACTTCTTTTCTTAAATAAATAGAAAATTGAAGTGTTCTGGATCTGTCATAAACAGACATCGTAGAATATGGGATATTGCTCTGGATACCCAGGCAGTCTGGAATCAGAGAAGCCCTGCAGCTGAGGCTGGAGCAACAAGAGGGATTTTGCATTCCCATTATCTCCTATGCAGTCAGCTCTTGGCCACAGAAAACCTGCAGTTATGCTTTAATTGGGGATTTAATCTGGAGAGATTTAACTATATGAAATCTCTGTAGAGGGGGATCTTCCCTGCCACCTCCCACAGGAAATGAGTGTTTGGAGTTATATGTCTCTGGTCATATTAGCAGAACAATTTGGCTATCAGTTGCAAGGATATTTAGGGGACTTATCAGATTGTAAAATACTAAAGTGTGATGACTATACAGCAAGTATAGTGGCCAGTCATCTGTGGCTTGCCAGACAGAAACTTTGAGTCACAAAAGCAGGGGCTGTTAGCCAGTGAGCCCCATGTGCCCATCGCCAGCCCATTAAAGGATCTGCCACAGCAGAGCTGGGCTGCAGCACTGGTGCACCTTCACTTTCAGGGAGGCATACCAGTCAGAAGCTGTTCATCCCGTTCACCGTGTATTAACTTGGTGCTTATGTGATGCAGGAACTTTCATAAATTGTTCAGTGAGGAATTTCGGCAATGGTTTCATATTGCAAGGCTTCTTTTTATATCCCCTGTTGCCTTTTTCAGGCCCTATCCACCCATTCCTTACAGCTATTAATAAAGTATCCCTTCCTCCAGCTGTCAAACCAGGTTTTACAGTCTGTTTTTAAGCTATTGTTGCACTTCTGACAATTAAGACTTCACAGCTTATGCTGGTTTTTCCCCCTTAATGCAAAGTGCATTTTTAAAGGAGCTATATCAGCTGACATCTTGTCCTAAAAATAGGCAATGAAAAAGCTAGAACCTAATGAAATGCTTCCAGAACTTTTTTTTTTCAGTTCAACTCAAGTATTTCTCATAAATGCAATTTCTTCAGCAACACAAATTGTACTTCTCTGTATCAGCAGAAAGGAATTTGAGGGGAAAGTTAATTCTAAGCCAAAAGTATCCTGACAAAACCAGTGTTCATGCTGTCCTTTAAGAAGGCATGTCCTCTTGCTACCCCTGCATTGGGTAGATTCACCCACACAATGGACAGAGAAATGGAATACATATGTTATTTATGCTTTATAATACATATCCACTGCAGCTGTTATGCCTATTCCACATATGGTACATTCAGCACCGATCTCACCACTGTCTTACCAGAAGACTGCATCTAAATCTTCAGTAAAATTCTGGGGCAATTAGGAGGTTGATGCCTTGAGAAGCTGAACCTGGACCAGAGACTAGACAGAGGTACAAGAATGAAGTAGGCATTTATTAAAAGGTCTTAAAAGGATACACCTTGGGCAGAACAAGGGCCAGGGCTACACCCAAGATGGACCTGAAAGGGTCACAAAATGGACCACTGGTCACAAGGCCTCACACTTTTATAAGTTTTGGTCCATTTGCATATTGGGGTTAATTGTCCAATTACAGCTTCAGGTTATAAAGTCCCATCCTCTTTGTTTGCTCCCCTCAGTTCTTCTTTGTTTATACTTTTGGACCTGAAGTTTCTAATGGTTGTCCTTGGTCTCAAGCTGGAAAGGGATTGTTCTGTCTAACTACCCTGTGACACCTAATGTGAAGCTCAGAGCTACATACCTAGGCAGCAGAGAATCTGAGAAATGTGAAAGTTAAAACTTAAGGCATCAAGGTTAGGGAGAGACAGGGTAATGTCACCATTCAGCTTTACTTCCTTAAGCCTGGATCACAACCAGGTACATATTCCAGTTCCCAGGACAACAGTACCCAAATCTTGTCAGCTTGATTCAGAAAACTAAAGATCAGACACCAACACAATGAAAAATGAACAAGAATTTTGTTCACACCCATTTTTTCTTCTTTTTTCTTTCCATGTCATGTTGACAAACCACACAAACAACTGAGTTTCCCTACTCCAAAATTTCTCTGCTTTGGACCCTCAAAAAATGGAGGTGCTCAAAATAAACAATCACTTTGAATATCTTGGCCTATATCCCAGTAGGAAGTGAATCTAATCACGTACACAGCAACCTTCAAACTACACAAGGATGAAGCGCTAGAACAATAAAACTGTAAAATGCATCATGGAAACGAAAAGCAGCATGACACAGCAACTAAGATCATGCAGCTCTCACTTATCTATTTAAACTGTAATTGGTCCTACTTGGTTTGCTAGTGCCTGCCATGAACAAAAACCCCATTAGTTTTCCCTTCCTTGAAAAGCAGGCCAAAGCCAGTTCTTATACCATCAAGTTTAAAATATGTGCAGGAAGAGCTCCATGCATGTTTTACCTGTGCTGTTTCCTTTTCCTTAATGCATACCTGAAGTAAAGGCATCCCAGATTTCTCTTATTCACTGCTGACTGCTCTTTTTTGTGTTGACTCAGCCTTTCAGAAGAGTTGCTACCTCTGCAGTTCTGGTATCATTTTTATTTAATGATAACATAAAGCTGTACAAAAGGTATATACTTGATTAGTATTATTCTTTCATCTAAGAATACTCATTCACAAAACCAAAATGCATGGCGAGAAGTAACAAGAAGCATCAGTTCTTGAACAATAAAACCACTGAAAGAAAAAGTTTTACAAGCCAGCTCTGGTGCACAGACCACAAAACTGCTAGTAAAAACTGCTAGATTAAACTATTTTCATTGTCTAGGATGGAAAAAGGATGAGACAAAGAAAGAATAAAATTAATCCTTGTACAACCTTATCATAATTAGAGCTGAAAAAAATATGGAAATGTAATCCTATACAAAATATTTTTGTTCAACATTTTTTTCCTAACTTGGGATGATTAAGTAAATATCAGCTGCTTTGTTTTGTTGGGATTTTTTAAAGAATTTTCAATAAGAAATAAAACTTCGGGTTTATTTTGGGAAGACATTTGAATTTTTAGTATTCATGAATTGAAAAATATTGTTTCAATTTGCTGGGCTCTTTCACTATTGCATTTTTCATGAGACCCACAGGAGTAAATGTCTGCATCCTTCATCCTCTTCTGTGGGACAATGGCTGCCATAATGTACCAAGCTCCTCAAAGAAAATCTCATGATTCTGAGTCTTAGTGGCAAATACCAGTTGGCAAGCAAGCTCAGACCAGCAGAAACTGGGAGCAATAGGCATGCAAAAAATAAATTGACTAGAGAAATACACCACAAAAGGGAAACACATAATTTACTCAAAACTAAATAGTCCTATAATGGAAGGCTTCATTTTCTTTTCTAAAAGAAAAATAAAAGAGCCCAATGTTAAAAAAAATTAATTTATTTCCATAATGTGTTAATTTTTCAGAAGTTGTTTTAGAACATTGTCCTGCTGGCAAATTCCTGCCCTGTCTAGATTTGTCCCTTTTAATCCCTGGTATTTTATAAAACCCTAAAAGATAATTCTGTTGTCAAAATTAACCTTGAATACCATGCAAAAAGCAGGTTAGGACACAACTGGTAAAGAAGCTATAGCAATATTTTCTTAAAGTCTGTTCAATAAATTCTCTGTGTTAAGGTTAGTATATAAAGCTTAGACTTCTGAACATTTAGGTATCACAATGCCATTGTAATTCAGGGAGGGAGGCCAGTTTGCAATTTAAAATATACAGAATTGGGCAAAACATTGCCTAACTTCTTTTCCTAGCTCTGCCAATGACCTACTGTAGCCTTGCTGAAGTAATTTTAACTATATTCGAAAGCTCTATTAGGATACCTATCTTCTTCCACAAGATGCACAAGATGTAACTCAAGTCTATGTAATACCAAAGAAATCCAGACAGAAATGTACTAGGAAAAATGGAAACAAATACCAAAAATGTATATTTGATGCTGTTCTCTAAGCCTCTGTTTGATTAAATAACATGCCCTTCTCCTTGCAGTTGATTGAGTGGTTCTTGCTTCATACTGTAGGAGTTTTATCATATTGGAATTGGTTTTCTCAGAATGATTTATCATTATTTTATTTTTAAAGCTTTTTTTTTTTTTATTAGAAAGATAAAATAATCTCATGAGAGAAACTTTCAAATCAAGCATTCCTCTTGGGTTTTCTGAGGTATTTTCTTCATCCAGACCAGACTGCTGCAGGCTTCCACATAACACAGGACCTGAGGAGAACAAGAGAGGAAACAGTTTACACTCTCAAAATGCCCACAGTTGTCTCAGACAACTTGGAGGCCTATCAAGGCTCAGGGCCACTGTATTTTATGGTCAGACGAGAATGCAGCTTGAAGTTGGGCAGGAAACAAGTGTCACAAGCCCAAACCACAGATTGCATGCCTGCCTTCACCATCCAACTCACCCAGGGTTGAAATCTGGGAGACACCAGTTGGGAGAGCCCACAACGGCGCTTCCAAAGCACAAGCTGTGTTGTCCATGGGCAAAAGGAAGGCAGGATCTCTGAGTGCCAGGATACAAAAGGAGCCTGTATGCATGAGAGCTCTTATCACTGGCAGGCTCTAGGACTCACAAAGTCAGAGCAACCAAGCCCAAAATACATATATATGCAAAACAAGCCACAAAGTTTCCACCCTGATGAAAGCACAATGAGGAAAATCTTTCCGACAGATTCACAGCTGGTTTCAATCTACAGCCTAAGCATATCTAATGGGTCTCTTTTATCAGAGGAGCTCTCATAGGGCTCTGGCTGCTACTGAGGGCAGCTTGCCACTGTGCAGACCCCTCAACAAAAGTCTGAGAGGACACTGTGTACTCCCTACACGAACTGAGGCATGGGGTAATAGAGACCATCTGCTCCAAATTCTGGCCCCACTTGCACCTTTATTAATCCATTCCAGCTCCTAAGATCTTACTCCAGCTAGTGTAGCTGCCCATATGAAAGTATCAGAAAAACGCAAAACATTCCTCTAAAAATCTTACTTTTTGTAACGGTCTCAGAAGTAAATCAAAGGATTCTACCCATATGAACACAACACATGGTCTCAAACCCTCCTAGGTGAAACTCTGGCTTCTCTAGAGACAGAAGAATTTTTTGCTAGGAGAGGCTTAAGAGAAGCTACCACATTCAGTAAAATGCAGGACTTTTACCTTCTACAAACTACTAAAAGAGAAAAAAAGTTCAAAACATCACATCCACTTATGAAAATTTGCAAGCTAGGGACTTGAGAAGTTATTGTGGGCACGTCATGTTGTAAGTAAAAAGTACTTCAAATATATATTACTTTATTTTTCCCCCTGTGGTTTACAGATTTGTCCTGAGACAATGGAAGTTTATAGAGAAGGGAGAGATGTCTGTGATTAAGGCGGCTTTCAGCTCTTCTTCCTACAGATACCCTGTGGATATTGCTGTATTCTCCAGAATCCAAGCTTCCACTTAAAAAACAATGAAGTTTCTAGCCCATCTGGGTTTGCGGAAGCAGAATGTAAACAGATGTACTGTTGTCTTATTTTAGAAGCTATAGCAAGCCAGACTGAAACAATAGCACTAAGAAATGTCAACTGCTCCCATTCATCTCAGTGGGGTGGGGTGTTAACTTTGAAGCCTAATTGTGACCACTTTAAAGTCAGCCTTTTAACCATTTCACTGCTATTACTACATCAGAAACTGCAAAGTAATGAACTTACCCAGCCTCTGTGTTTGTATGCATTACTCCCAGACCTTCCATTCACTTTAAAAGAATACTGCATTACAATCGAGCTAGTTTGAATATTCCTTTACTTAAGAAGTTAGCTGAATTGTTTGCTACTGTCTTTCAAAATTAGGGTTAAAAGAAAGTCAAGGGTGAAAGGTTAGCTTCATTATTGTTGCTCTCAAAAGTGCAACACGTGGGATTTCATGCTTTTTCTTTGATCAGGGTAGCAGTTCATTTCAATAAACAGACAAACAGCTACATACAAAACTAAAAATAATGACTAAACAAATAACACTGCACCATCAATCAGGAGTAAAAGAACAAAAAAGACATCCTAATGATGTGGTAGCATATACTTGCAAGAAGAATAAAAAAAGGGGAAAGAGGAAAAGGGTCTTCATTTTCAGAAAGTTATACTTGCCGTCACCTTAAATCCAAGGTGTATTAGCCCTGGTTTGAGTACACAGAGAAGCTGCCCTGCTAAAGTTATTTTACATCCCATTTCCAAGAAGCTGTTGCATTCTTCATCAGTGGTCACTCTGAAGCCTGCATGTGAATTTTCCTCTGGGACCACCAGCTGGAGACTAGTAGCTCTACACACACATTTTTGCAGACATCACTTCAGATGCTCTGAGAACTCATGCTGAAAATTATTAGGGCAAGCTACTCTACTCTAGCTTATGCTTCTGAGCATCCAGAATCATGCTGATGTGAAGTGTCACAGGAGTCATGGCACTGCAAGGCATGATGGAGATGCCTGGCTGGGTTTGGTGGGACTGTTTGCCCCACACCTCCCTTCTCTGCTCAACCAGCCCTCCTGCCCACCTGCACTGCAGGACATCTCTGAGTGCCTGCCCACTGTGTCTGCCACAGCTCATGGGTGACACAGGATGGCTGCAGAGCAATATATGCACTGAATTAATACTTCTACAGTTACAATCCTGACAATCCTTTTCACCTGTCATTTTCTTCCTAATATAACAGATATTAGGCTGAGAAGTCAACACTAACATCACCACTGCACCACTTTGGTCATCATTATTACATCCATGCTAGGTACCCTAACCAGGTAATCCTGACATGTCTCAAGATGCCTCCATTGCAGCTACAGACACTGGCTCAGGGGAAGCAAAAGAGGAACGGCAGTACCTCAGCTGCATGACAGAGCAATGGGAATAGCATCACCCAACAAAAGACCTTGAACAAGCAGCTTGGACAAGAGTAACTTCTCTGGGTCATAAGGCAGCAACTGGAAGAAAGTTAAGTGCATAAGACATACTATATTTATTGAAAAATAACTACTTGAGCACACATTCTCACTCCTGAATAAAACTGTCTTTGCTTGGGAAGGTCTTGAATTGATAGGAGTGCCTACATGTGGTAAAGGAATAAGGTTCTTTTGGTAGAAGGGGGAAAATTTTCCTGCCTACACAATGCCTAGGTGTTTGTGCAAACAAAGGCCTAATTCATCCAGTGCAGGTTCTTTTGCCTGCTACAACAGACAATACCCTGACATTGTTATTAGGAAGTTATGAATGCACAATCCTTCCATGTGTAAATTCCCCTGTGTAGCTGGATGTTAGGGTGTTTGAAATTTACCCTGACTGCTAAAATCACCAGATACACACCCCTCCATTGTCAAATATCAGTGTTTCCTAAGTCTTGATCTCTAAACTGCAACATAGGATTTGTAAAATCCTCTTGATATAAAGGTGAAAATACACCTCTGCTTTCACTTAAAAACCTGTGTGCTTCACAGGTTTTTAAAACTGACTTCACACACAAAAGGCCTGCTATGGAAAGACAGACACCTTCATTTTCTATTAACTTCAATCAGCTGCAGCAAGGTGATCAGTTTCTGCAGAAGGTGCTGAATAAGATCATATATAAATTCACAGAATTATCTGAGTGCTGTTGAACATGTTTTCTGCAGATGCTTAGAGGTGCAGAACAAAGGCAGCTGAAAACAGACTTGGTAAGTTTACAATTTTACTTTATCACTGTATTAAATTCCCATTCAACATCCATAAGGCACCACACACTTGTTATAGAAAAAAATAAACAGTCTCATAAAAACTAGACTTGCCAGTCTTTGCTCTGCCATGCGTCCCTCTTCTTTTCAACTGCAAGCAAGTAAAACAACCCCCTGACAGCTGGATGTGTAGAAGTCTGTGCTGGCAGTGTCCTGGTCCAGAGCAACACTGCAGGCTGGAATGCTGACGCTGGCAGGGCTGCCACTGCGTTTACTTAACACTCATTTCTCTCAGTCTGCTTCAGACCAGAAATGCAGGCAATGAAAACCTATCCAGCCTTTGAGAACCTCAGCCATAGCAGTTTAGCAGAGCAGGGTTTGTGCAGGTACATGAAAGAGGCATTCAGAAGACACTCCCATTCAAGGGAGGCAGAAAGAGAGCCCCCAGCTGTCTCTGGTTACCTTTTATTGGCATGAAAAGAAGGAGGCAGGAGGGGCAAGGTTTCAGGACAAATGAAAAACAAGCTTTCTAAGATTCACTGTTCAACCTCAGAACAAAAGCTCAGCAAATTTAAGCTACAGGATCTTAGTTCCATTTCTTTCAGTTTAGTAATTTATTACAGAGAAGAGAATGAAAAACCTGCTTCAAATAGTGGATTAAACATTACCCTGAAACAGAACTAAAGAGAAAAAAAAATTGTGAATTCAGATAGTTTCTTGGGCAAAAACTATACATTATGAATTCAGTTAGTTTCCTAGAGAAATAAAAAGCAAATTGGCAAACACATGAGAAAGTGTACCATGTTAGTAGGTATCCAAGGCTCCTGGGTTAAAAACATTTACATCATGATGAAAGCTGGACAAAACAGCTGTCACAGAAGCATTATTAAGGGTATAATCTGTAAACACTCACCACCCAAATTAAACCAAGATCTGTTGAGATGGACGAGAAATGCCTCATTTTGGAAGGCAGGCCCAATGGCCTTCTAGAGGAAGCCAGCCCAGGGCAGCATGAAAGTGTGGGGGCACTGGCAGGAGTGTCACCCCCTGGAGCCACCAGCAGCTGGGTGGAGGAATGCTGGCCAGCAAACACCCCCACCCCTCAGCCAACAGGGGCAGACAGCCTGCAAAGCCCTGCACTGTCTCAAATTTGCTGCAAGCTTGAAGAAAACCCAGTTTTGTGTCTTGCATGACATGGCAGACTCTTCCCCAGGCAGGGTGGATGCACAGATTAGATCTGGGTTTGCTGTATGGAGCACCTTAGAGAGAAGATGAATGGGCCAAAGCTTCCTCACAGAAGCTTCCCCTTAGAAAACCCAATGCCCTCCATGCACCCACGTGCAGTTTGTACCATGAGCTGAGCTGCATAAGGGCACAGTATGGGGACCCTGCATGGTATGGGATGGCTGCAGGGACCCTTCCTGCAGGCCAAAATACAGCCCTCTATAGCAAAGGTCAGCACACCTGCTCATGAGAGATGAAGAGAGAAGTCTTAGTGCTGCATCCAAGTCCTCCTCATTCCATGGGGACAGCAGAGAGTTCCTCCTTCACAGGAAATGTAAGGTCTGCAGAAAACAGTGGTGAGGACCATGAAAGTATAGATTTTGTGATCAATAAATACGTTCCACAATTAAACAAGCTGTCAGTTGCAAAAAGACAAATAATAACCACAATACCTAATATTTACACAATTCTCTATACAAACCTATTGTTTTTCTGTAGAGTGTACAAATATTACCTAACCAGTCACCTGAGGACACATGGTCAAAGCTTTGGCTTCATGATGAACTGCAGAAGTCTTTTAAAGTGTGACCACACTCTCCAAAGTTTGTTGTGTTGAATCTAGGCAACACACGTTTAGGTACACTTGTGTAAATACCTTGAGATAACTCAGAGCCCTTTATAAATTTAGGTGGCCTTCATGACAACTAAATATAGGTGGGTCAGTGAGACCTGAAAAAATTATACATATGAGGTTAGGAGCAACTTCAGTTGCTCAATTTTTCAAAGACCAGTAATTTACATCTAGGTTATAAGTTTTTGCTAATGTTTCAATTTCATGATGTGTCTCTAAGGCGTTATCTACCCAGAAAATAAATTACCTGGTTGAAGCAATGATCTGGATAGCATGCTAGCTATCGCCTTGATACACAATGAGACAGAAAACCAGGAAGGATTTATCTGGAATTCATTTGGCAGTACTGTAGAATTTTCTGCAAGGGAAAATATGCAGTTGTTTATGCAATTCCTTAATTCTTTGAAGAGGTGAAATGTATAATTTAGAAAAAGTTTTTAGACACACTTAAGAAGAAAAATATTTTACTCATTACAGTAACTTCTTTTTTCTAAATCATTCTTTTAGTCTCTTAACATATCTTGAAACAAACATGGACTGCCAAATATCTTAATCAGAGTACTTCTGATCTGTAATCTCTTTGATACAGATCCTGTCTTAATAAATCATTTCACAGTCTTGAAGAACCATTAGAAGCAAACTACAGCATTTGCAGTTGTAGTATAAAGTTACTTGGCATTCCCATAGGTGATAGGAGAGACTAGAAACAATGGTCAAAATTCAATATTAATACATTAATATTTAAAAATTAGTGCATAAGGACTTGATTCCTGTCGCTTTTCAAGCCATGCTATTGAAGCGGAACTTAAAACCTGACATTAAATGTTATGAGAGAGTATGATAAGGTGCATTCCTAGAGAAACATGACTGAAGGCAACAGGAATCATCCCAGCAACATGAATAGGATTTGGTCAAAGCCTGTGTTAAATGCACTCTGAGGAGGGAGAAAAGAAGCAACAGGATTTTAATCTCTTAGGCTCAACAGCAGGATTAATTATTTTGTCTCAGATCTTTCACACAACAAATACATTTTGGATGCTATGTTAGAGATAAATAAGTCAGTATTAGTCTTATTTTGCTAAAGAACATTTACTGGCAGCATCTTTTCATCTCTACTCAGATTTTATGTTGGGGCAAATCTTGGAGGTGGGAGAGTAAGTACTCTAGCAGGCATCTGCTAAACATAATGCGGTTGTACTCTCTTATTAAAACTGTACTCTTTCAAGTGTTTTTCATGGCATTCATTTTCTATGCAACATTCTGCTTTACTACTATCCCAATATGACCCTAATCAATTTTTCATCCTGGTCATATTTGCCCACCTGACTCCTCACTTGCAGAGTCCTTTTAGCACTTCACTGGGCCAGTTACGCTTCCCTTTCTGTTTTAACTTTGTTTTATTGTATGTCAGTCCCTTGTGGAAAATGGACACTGTGCCTGCACCTGAGCTCCCACCCACATAACCAACATTGGCAGAGTGTTTAGGAGATTCTTCTGGTTCACATTTCTGTTACGGTGCCAAGTTCATGTGTCATGTGCTACTCAGGTCCTCCTGTTTTCTCCTTGACCGCTTGCTCTTCCCTTCTTCTCCTGAACCATCCCACTTTCCAGAGCAAAAAAAAAGGAGCTGCTCACACCAGACATGGCCAGAGCCTGCCCAGAGTATTCTCCGAGTGTGGCCCCACGCTACCACAGTCTCATCAGCACTAACTTGGAAGTCCTACCCATTTCTGGAGAAAGCCTGCTGTTCACATATCACATTGGCTCAGCAGAGAAGTAGCAGTCTCTGAAGGGATTTAGCTGTGTTCAAAATGAAATATTTTTTCCCACTTATACATATGAACAGCTGCACCCCAGTTTTAACATCCCCACTACCCAGGGCAGGAGAACAAACAGAAAGCTTTCCAGGAGCAGTCTTCAACAAAAATAACAAAACTGACTTAAGAGTTTCAAAGCTACACAGAAAGACCCATCCTTTCCAAAATATGGAATAATGAAAAAGAGCAATCCTGGTGACAATATTATTTGCTAGTGAACAGATGCAAGCTTTGTGTGACTTACAACATGTAGTAGTAAATGCAAGAAATTGCAGGATCTCACTTGCAGGAAACACCAACCAAAAAATTCAGTACTAAATATGATTAGAAAACACTAAAGAATTTGAAAGCTTTGCTTCAGATATCATCATCATTAATTACTGATTGGACAGGAAATTCACATGACAAGCTTTTTAGAAAGGTTTTGTAATCTGTTTCCAAATGAACTGTAATAAAATGTTGAGAAAAAGCCTCAAATAATGAAATAAATCAAGTTATCATAAGTCACACTGATTTACATCAGTATTTACCCGTCATGAGATGCTTGGTATTTAGATGTTTTAGAAGCTAGATATTTAGAAATGTTTAGAAGTTTTAGTATTTTACTGACTCACTTCTTCAGGGCATTTCTGTCAGAAAGAGACCTTGAAAAAGAAACAATACACATATTTTTGAGGAGCATGCAAAGGTAGTTGCAAGAGAGGCACAGAAATAGAGATTAATGAGCAAGATTAATGAAAATTTGGATATCATCCTCTGTTTATCCAAAGTTGCCTTTGGTTTAGAAACTTGGCTTATGAGAACATGTGCTATCTGTCTAACCAGGCATAACCACCAAACTCTCTCATTCTACCTTGACTCCTGCTCTTTTCCTGTATTTCAATGCTAGGTTGTACATGAATAGAAAATTACTATGTTTTTACAGTTCTTGGGAGTTCCAGAAATACGTCCCAGGTTAGGGAAATCCTTTTCTCTGGACACACTTATTCAGCATCACTACAATCCACTATAAATATACTACTTACACTTTAAGCTGTTGCCACTGCCTCACAAAGCAGACTGAAATTTTGTACACAACTTTGATTCCTATGAAGCAAACATAAGTTTCACAAAATTTCCCTTCCTACTACTGAGAGAGAATGGCCTATGAAATTCATACTGCACAAAACCAGAACAAAACACTTTGGAAGAGGAAGCCACTATTTGATGCTGCAGGGGGAAGAAGGCATAATTTAACTTGTTCAAAGCACTTGGACTGAACACCTTATTCTTATCATTTATCCCATGTAACAGAGCTCATCCAATTGATCTTTATTTGGATAAGTAACTTTGATGACCTCCTGGTCATTAAAGTGTTTTTCCCTTCTATCTGTCATCATACAGACTGAAGATTATGAAGTTTTATTAAGTCCTTGGGAAGGGGTTTTCCTAACAAGCTTTAAAAAAAAAAAAACCCACAAAAAACAAAGTATTTCGTTAACTTGTTCAAAGCACTTGGACTGAACACCTTATTCTTATCATTTATCCCATGTAACAGAGCTCATCCAATTGATCTTTATTTGGATAAGTAACTTTGATGACCTCCTGGTCATTAAAGTGTTTTTCCCTTCTATCTGTCATCATACAGACTGAAGATTATGAAGTTTTATTAAGTCCTTGGGAAGGGGTTTTCCTAACAAGCTTTAAAAAAAAAAAAAAACCCCACAAAAAACAAAGTATTTCATCATTCAAAGAAGGTGCAGACAACTTTCATGAAGATTTTGTCTACTTTCCAGAGTTGAGGCTTTTTAATTTCTGCAAGGTAATACAAGCAAAATACAAGCAAGATCAGTTTCTGGGAAAACACCTGAAAATATTGTGAATAGAATCAGAGAAAAATTGAATAACTGAGTTTAAAGGAACCCATCAGGATCATTGAATCCAACTCCTGGCCCTGCACCATACCATGTGCATGAGAGCATTGTTCAAATGCTTCTTGAACTCTGTCAGGCTTGGTGCTGTGACCGCTTCCTGGGGAGCCTGTTCCAGTGCCCAGCCACTCTCTGGGAGAAAATTTTTTTCCTGATAGCCAACCTAAACCACTCCTGACACAACTTTGTGCCATTTCCTTGAGTCCTGTAACTGGTCACCACAGAGAAGACATCAGTGTCTGCCCCTCCTCTTCCCCTCATGAGAAGTTGTAACTGCAATGAGGTCTCCCCTCAGTCTTCTCCAGGCTGAACAGACCAAGTGACCTCAGCCACTCCTCATATGGCTTCCCCTCAAGGACTTTCACCATTCTCTTCTCCCTCCTTTGGACACTCTCTAATAGTTTAATGGCTTTTTCTTTTTTTTCATACTGCAGTGACCAGAATTGCCCCCAGAACTCAAGGTGAGGCTGCCCCAGCACAGAGCAGAGCAGGACAATCCCCTCCCTTGCCCGGCTGTGACACTGTGCCTGATGCACCCCAGGACAGGGATGGCCCTCCTGGCTGCCAGGGCCCTGCTGACTCAGATTCAGTGCAAAACATAAGGGAGGTAACATGGAGGAGGTCAGGAGATTGAGCTGCACTCAGGATTGTGCATTACTTTACAGACATTGCTGTGTTACAGCTAGCAGAGATAGAGGTCTGTATGGTTTCTATCATATTGTTGTCCAAAACAACACTAGGAGATAAAAAGACACAGCTGTGAAGTACACTGAGATGTGGTTTCAGAAAAATAACTCCAGTTTCATATCTCAGTTGGGTCATGCTCCCACAACAGGAATGAACATTTTGTAATTGCATCGACCGAACAGGACTTGTACAAACAAGACCTGATTAAGTTTTGTCTTCCAGTTTCCAATGTTCAACTGCAGCTTTTTCTAAGAATTTCCTATTCCTGGAAATTATGAATTTTTCATGAGTCCTCTGATGAACTGTGAACATATAATGGAAGATTAGGTGATTGAAATTAATTCTTGTGTCCAGTTAATTAGCTTGGTTTCAAACACTGAATTGTAAATATACTGAGAGTATGTGACTCCAAACACTAATTATACTATTTCTAAATTGTTATAGGACATTTCTATATGTTCATATACCTTGTTTACAAATGTTTCCAGGGTTTTAAGCAGTTTAACTTAATAACCCCAGTAAAGCCTAAGCCTAAAGGTCACACATGTCAGTGTGATCAAAGTCTCTCTGTTCCTAAATGAATATACAATTCAGTGCAATGCAGCTAACACAATTAAATCACTGCTGCCAATTGATAGAGGCAAACAGATCACAGCCTGGGAGAAGGTCTATAGGCAGAAGATCCAAACATTCCTCTCAATGTCATCCCATGCTTCTGACCAGAATTTAAAAAAAAAAAAAAATCTGAAATCCACCTTTCACCCAAAACAAGAAAAAATAGTCAAAATCACTACAGGAGGATGACATTAATGCAGTAATCCATCTATCATTAAAACACCCACTGACTGTCTAAGCAGAATCTCCCTTTTTTTTCTTGTCCAGAGTGGCATTTTTAATGTAAAGATTTTGGATGGATTTTCTAGGGGGAAAAACCTCCACAAACG